AGCTGGGATTCCGAAAGTGCCACCTAAGTGCCTTTCTGCCTCACTCAGTCTACCCACCTGTGCGTTGAGGTCACCTGCAACAACCACTACGTCCGAACGTTTGGCTTTCGAGAGGAGGTTAGACAGTTTATGGTAGAACTCGTCCTTCACTTCATCCGAACTACAGTCAGTGGGTGCGTAAGCAGAGATTACAAAGAGACAACGGCGAGTCTCACTATTCCTTTTAGTTCTCACTGTGCCGTTCAGCCTCATAGCGCAGAGGCGACTATCAACTGGGATCCAGTCTAGTAGTGAGTTTTCTGCCCTGGTGCTTAATGCTATACCTACACCTGCAAGACCACGAGAGCTAGCTATCGAATCTCCAGAAACTCGAAGGGTGAATTTTGCAGATTCACCAGATTGGTCAGGAGAGGTCAGGTGAATAACCACACTTGGGTCCTGTATGCGTGTCTCACAAACACAGCACACATCCATGCCCCGAGTTGCTAGAGTCTTTGCCAACGAAGCCTGTTGGCCAATTTGACGGAGGGTGCGGACATTGAAGGCTCCAATATGTAATTTGGAGCGTGGTTTAAGGAGACCAGGGACGCTGTTCTGTGGACTCAGATCGTTGTCGAAGGCTGCAGAGGTAGGAGAAATTGAAGATGATGCAGCATCATTAATTAAGAGACGTGAAGGAAGATTAGAAGGTAATGATGGAGGAGGAGGATAGCAGTCAGAAGAAACTTGGGTGCTGACAGAGTTGTGAGGGCGGTTGACACTTCCCGGCTGCCCACACCGTGGAAGGCTATTTCTTCTTAAGGTACCTGAAAGAGATTTGTGTGACCGCAGAGCCCATCGGACATCTGCTTGAGGCCTGTCACACCCAGCCTTTTGAGTATGATTATTTTGAATTTTTGTATTTTTGGGGCCGGATGAGCGAAAGGAAACGACAAGTGAACCAACACCGCCGGCCCGGCAGACCGTGGGGCGTGGTGGAGTGTGTTATTTTTGGGGCCGACCTTTTCTAACCCCCCCTTCCACTGAGAAGGCAGCATCAGCTTGGCACTGCTGGTCATCCAAGGGAAACACCTTACTGCTGTCACACCCCATCCAGCTAGCAGCAGTACGACTTCGCCCTCAGACCCCCATCATAGTGTAGCAATTTACACTATGACGGTAACTGCTTTTCGTCTAACCACTACCCAACAGACCTTTCTGGTATGGTAGGACCTCGAGGGAACAAGCGTTCCACCAGCATAGCTCGTTGGGTCATTGTGATATGCAAGCCCGACCACCACGTCAAGGTAGCAGCTATCGGTCGGGTCGAGGGCGAAGTTGCACTGCTGATGGGATAGTGCGTGATAGAAGGAAGCTGGTTCTCGCGGATGACCAGCAGAACTATGGTGATGCTGCCTTCGCTGTAAGGAGTGGGGAACGGCTTGAAAAGGTCACCCTCTAAAACAGTCTGCTTCTTCCTAGCCTACGGTCTCCCAGTGCATTCCTTCCTGTCGGACGTTAGAACAATCAAGTGTCAAACCAACTATCCTCAAAATAGTGTATGGCACTTTCCAGAAAGATTTTTCATTGGCTCTGTGGTCACATAAATCTTTTCCTTCTTTTCTTATTCAGGTACCTTGTAGAAATAAGTTCCACGGTGTGGGAAGCTGAAAAGTACCAACCACCCCGCACACTCCCAGTAGTACACAAAACCCAGTCAAAAATAAATTACCATTCTTAGGTTTGTCTGCTCTTCCGCCTTCACTTCTTTATACTAATACTAAGCCTCCAGCAACTTCCACTTCATCCCTTTTGTAACTGTTTCCGATGATTCAGACCAATGAAATACCGTTTCTAGTCTTTTAAAACATTGCTGTTGTTCTCACAGCGAATCCGCCAATACCCGGACCCTATGTTAAATCGGACGATAAGCATCGCCCATCAGAACTCTGGAACCGCGTTTCTGAGATAGGTACACAGGATCCAAGTGTGGCTATTAATTTAACCACACCCAGCCACTGCGGGGAATCTTTAAAATTCACCTTGGGAGTGTTCAGGGCTTTAGTGGCTAGCCTTCATGAGCTCACTTCTGTCGGCATGACACTTAGTTGTAGGGCAGAAAGTTCAATTCTTAATCAGACACAATTTAGGAGTCATCTGTATACTGTTAGACCGAATGAGTCTGTAGGAATCAGGTGAGGTCATGAAACTGGCTGATGTCTATTTGAAATCTTCGCCTACGCACCCATCGACTGAAGTTCAGGTGATGCAACGGATGAATTTTATTGGAAGCTATCAGTTCTTATGCATGGAATAAAAGGTCCAGATATAGTCATGGCAGCTGGTGACTTTAACACTCAAGTAGGAAAGTTGGGCCAATAAGAAAGTCATCTTGGAGGCATCTATTTAGTCTCGTGCCGACGAAATAGCAACGAAGATCGTGCGTTACAGTTTTGTTTTGGCAATCACTTGCTTTTGACCAGCACTAATTTGAAGAATAAGGAGAGAAAGGGTGTCCACTGAAGTCAAACCAATAGTAGGCATATTGCTATACGCCATCAATGTAGAAGATCGGTGCTGGACTGCCGCACCTTCTGCGCATTAGTGTGAGTACTTGTTTGTCTGTTCCCTGTTGGTTGCAGAAAATAGGCAACATTGGGGTCTGTGTATACTCAACTGGGAAGTGAGAACGACAAGTACGTATCATTTAGGGAGATAGCTAAACATTTATCTGCGAGTAAGAATGAGGCTTATTCTGGGGAAACCTGGCGTAAAATTCAGTCTTTTTCAGGGAAAGCCATAGAGACACCCGGTGACCAATATTTTGAAGGCAAGCAATTACCCACGGATTTCTGTGACGCCACCCAAACTGATTAATGCAAAAAGACTGATTACAAAGAACTGTAGTCTTCCTGAAGAACGAAAACAACTTAAACGTAGCTTGACCAAGAGTCTTTGCCATAATTGCGAGCAGCGATGAGTAGCGAAAACGAGAGAGACAGAAAAAGCATCAACATTAAGTATTAATTGGCATTTATTTCGGCTTATTAAGGACGCTAGCGAGAAGAAGACGTTGGTGAACGAGGCGATCCTCGAAAATGACAGGACTCTTATAACCTCTCAAGGCAGGCAGTTAGAACGTTGGGCAGATCACTTTGAAGCCTGGTTCAGCTGATCCATAGCATCAGTTGTCCAGCATCCACCCCGTACCTGAATTGGATGCAGATGTCGGTGCTCTAGTTGTCCTTGACGTTGAGACGGTTATTTCAAACCTAAAACGATTCAAAGTAGTTGCACCTGATGGTTTGCCACCTAGTCTTTGAGGAAGGAAATAGGAAACTACGGATTAGGGTCACGGACATACTGGGTAGTTTATGGGAATCAGAGGTAGTACAACCTTACTGGTCTAGACCACATTTCATCCTAGTTTCCACACAAAGAGAGAAGTCATCCTGTGACAACCGTAAGGTAATGTGTCCAAGATCCTGGGGCTGGTGGCTAAGCAACGGTCAACTGAAGCTCGAAAACAACGAACTCAAGAAAGCCAATAGTGTTTCTCACCTGGATAAGAGTGTGTTGGTCAGATTTTCACCCTTCGACAGGTTCCAAAGTGCAAACATACTTACCGGTGGTCGATAGTAGCCACATTATTTGGTCTGAAGCCGGCATTCAACTCTGCAAACCGTGTGATGCTGTGGCAGTGTCTGACTGTGATAGGAGTACCAAGCGGGTGTGTAATGCTAGTTGAAACTAGACTCGAACTCACATCTATGTAAAGACTTGGGAGAAGTTATCGCCTGAATTGATGACAACTGATGATGACCAACAGAGATGCCAGCTGTCACTGTTCCTGTTCAGCTTCGTTATAGATGTACTGATGAACACAATCCTAGATACCTCTGATTTCGGAAAGATTGATCTACTATCCGAATATCATCTAGTTGACCTGGAGTACCCAGACGATATTATCCTACTGGATGAAGACTCTGACAGAATGTAGGGTTTTCCAAACGCATTGAGCAGAAGTTTTTCTATTTTTTTAATGAGTTTCGTACCCGTCAAATGCAAGATGAGGCTCCAAGATATGTCTGGAACTACTCCCAATTTAATGATAGGGAGTGAAGTGGCTGAATGTATCGACTCTCTCGCTTACTTTGAATTTCGAATCTACTCGAACTGGTTGCTTGCTGATGAAATGTTAGCTTGAATACAGGAGTTTGGCACTTGCTGTTCAACGTCATTCCTGGCGTTGAACGGTGAGACATGTGACTACGTATTAAAGCGCGAGTATATTGCACTTCACTTCAATCTTTCCTGTTATGTGGCTGCGAGATATGGCTGCTGAAAGCAGAAACTATGAGTAGACTACATGTTTATGACCATAAATATCTTCATAACAGTTCTCGATAATAATCAGATTTGCAAAACTTTGATAGCATGACAACTACGTGCTTGGAAACAATAAAAAACATGTCTGATTCCCACTTTTTCCATTCTCTGTGTAATTTTAGTCTGAAAATGAGTTCAGTAGCAAAATCATTTACGTTTACGTGGATGTCTCGATTTTGAGAAGTTACAGTAATCCGGGATGAAGGACCCAGACCTAAACGTAGGCAAGATCGAGGCATGTATACAGAAGTGCATATACCGATCGAGACCGATCAATTCGGTCCAACCAACGACTGGAGGATACAAGCAACATCCTATAAACTGATCTTGTTGCACAAAAAGTGAACATCATAACTTGATGGTTTAAAAGATAACTCTCTGAGGTCTCAAGTCTTAATGGGAACAACATCACTCACTCAGAGGCATGTATATCGAGCTAAAAAGTCTCAATTAGGACAAAATATGCCTTCTAGATCCAACTATTACCCAATTTTAATCAATTTACAACATAGTCAATATTCAGTTAATATCTAGACATTCATAAAGGAGTCTATATTGTCAATAGAAATTTCATCATTAATGTTATCTTTTTTATTTATCTTTTCAAATTCTATTTTTAGAATTTTATAAATATGAGTGATTCTGAAATTCTTGATGAAGATAGTTTAAATGAAACTGAAAATATTCAGGAAGATGAATACAATGACAGTAGACATACAACAAATAAAAACAATAATTTTTATTTAGTTATTGATAATAATAATAATAATAATAATAATAGTAACAGTAGTAGTAGCAGCAGCAGCAGCAAAAGGCGAGATAATAACAATCATAGTATCCAACAGAATAGTTTGATCTACTTTAATCCTAATAAAAATAATGTAACTTCACAGTCAATTGAATCTTATAATAATCGATTGAATGATTATTGTTCAGAAAATAATAACGAATTCATGATATGTCAATCAGTTCCTCCATTAAATTTATTTTCTGAAGAAAATAGTATCATTGAAGTCAGTGAATCGTGTAAAGAAGCATTCGATATTGATTTAAGAGCTAAAACCATAACACCTGTAAGTACTATTTTGTTTGTTTTTTTATATTAATGAATATATGAATATATGCTTAATGATGGAGCATGGCTAGCAGTGGAATCTAGGATATGCATTTCGTCTTATTTGGGACTCTTCAGTTGGATGTACCCTGCCTCTCAGTGAGTAATGTTGTTCCTACTGGGACTCGAACCTCGAGCGTTGTCATGTACACCACAGATCCACGATAGCTACTTCTTGTGCAACCGGTATAGTTTTTTTTAAAAAATATTATTTCTTGTATTGCACTATCGTTGACTGGACTGAATTGATCAGTCTCTGATAGCATATGGGCTGTTGCGCGGATGCCTTGATATATTGTCTGTGTTCTTAATTATATAGTAATGATGGATAGTGGCTAGCAGTGGAATCTAGGATGTGCATTTCGACCTATTTCGAACTTATCAGTTGGATGTACCTGCTCCACTAAAACTGTACCTGTCGCACAAGAAGTAACTATCGCTGCTCGGTGGTGTAGTGGTGCGATCGGTCCCGAGTTCGAATCCAGGTGGGGACAACATCACTCACTGAGAGGCAGGTACATCCAACTGATGAGTTCTAGATCGGATGAAGTGCGCATCCTGGATTCCACTGCTAGCCGCTGTCCATCATTACCGTATGTAATTTATATAGTTTGAATTTTCTCACGTCCTTTGTGATAAAGGTATTATAATGTTGCTGGTTGATAACGTAAAGATCGGATGTTACCGAAAAGGGGTTACGTACGGTTTTAAATCTTTTATAAGGTGCATATAGATTAAAAAGGGGGATGAAACGTGATATATATATATATATATATATATATATATATATATATATATATATATATATATATATATATATATATATAGAGAGAGAGAGAGAGAGAGAGAGAGAGAGAGAGACAGAGAGAGAGAGAATCAGCGATAATGCTTTGATTCCCCCTAGTTTGTATGAACACATCAGACCCGTTCGTTCGGTAATTCCACGTTTCTATGGATTGCCGAAAATACATAAAACGGGATTACCTCTTAGTTCGATTTTGGATATGTCAGGTTCTCCTTATCATTGTATCGCCCAGTGGTTAGCTGAAATACTGGAACCAAACCCATTGTTCTATTCGTGATACATTCGAGTTTATTGATAGCATTAAAGATGTTGACGAGAATGGTAAAGTTGTTTTCCTTACATGTTACCTCATTGTTCATTACTGTACCACTGACAGAAACTGTTACATATATGATTTCATCGATTCACACAATATAGAAGTAGGAATTTCAACAAACTGCCTGAGAGAGAGCTATTGATAAGATATATTTTTAATGTGTAATTTAGTTTTGATGGTGATATATACCGGCGAAATGATGGGGTTGCGACGGGATCCCCACTGTGACCTCTAATGGTAGTTTGTTTTATTTTGAAACTAGAAAATTCGATTCTTAGCCAAACTATTAATCATTTTGACAGCTATAAACGATATATGGATGATATATTCGTTATTCATGACTCAACTATCGATCTGGATGACATCCTACACGAGTTTAACAACTTTCACTCAATGTTGGAATTCACAATTGAGAAGGAATTGGAACCAGCTATTCCTTTCCTTGACTTGTTGATTACAAGAAGTAGTAATGGAAAGCTGAAAAGATCCATCTACAGGAAACCCACGCAGAATGGACAGCTTACTAATTTCTATAGCTGGGTGCCGATGATGAGCAAGATAAAACTCATTCACCCACTCTGCTATCAAATACTTAATATTTGTAGCACAGACTGTGTCTAAGTTGAACTTGACTTTCTAAGAAGGACGCTCGCAGAAAACGGCTATCCTAACCGATTTATCGGTAGGACTATGAGAGAAAGAAGTGAGAAACCAGTCTTCAGCTCAGTTTCAAAAAAGATATTGTTGATGAATCTGGACTTCAAATGTGATGGAGCATCAGATATCTTGAAAAATCGTCTTTTCAGATCAATTTGTAGGAATTTTTTCTCAGCCAAACTTCACTTGATCTTTACCAGTCGTAAATTGTTCTCCGTTTGTATAAAAGAAAACATCCCTCGATAGGTCACTTCCATGTGTGTCTATCAGTTCAGCTGCTCATGTGGAGCTAGGTTAGTCGGCCGTAGTCAGAGACTGCTCTAATCACGGTTGCGAGAACATATTCCAGCCTGGTTTTATAAAAGGGTGAAAGGAAAGTGCATCAGAAGTTCTATTCTTGAGAATTTAGTCGATTCTAACCATTCAACCAACCCAGACAATGATTTTTAAGTTGTCTGTCGAATTCGCTCAAACACCTCACATTTCCTCCGTATCCAGCTTCTAAAAACAGCAGAGGTCTTGGCTATCCATGAACTAAAGCCTGACCTTTGTGTTCAAAAGAAGTATGTACAGTCTTTATCTCTACCTTGATCTTAATCTTGGTGCGTTTCGTTCCTTTTTCGTTTTTCACCCCCACCCTCACCTCTTTTTGTCAGATTAATCTTTGTACTCTTATATCGTCACTAACATTTTATTTCTATTTTTAATTGTTTCCGGTATTATTTCATTTGATCTTCTTAAAAATAGCAACTATTAGGAATTTTTTTATCTCACCTTGACCTCTTCTGAAGGATGACCTAATCCTTTCTGACTATACAAAGATCATTGTTTCGAACCCAGTGGAATTGATCGACACGTATCTTACGGCCTGTTTGCAGTTCATTGGGAAAATATACGAACAAACAAAAGTGACACCTAAAGGATCTCCAATATCAGGACTGACTGCTAAAGCTGTGATGCAGCGACCAAAATCGATAGTTATGCCTCTTATCAAGCCGAAAATTTGGATTCTGCACATTGACAACACATTAGTAAGTCACTAGAAAGATGAAACAGAAAACATGTTCAAACTCATCAACTAAACATTGGAAGGAATTCACATCACAATGGAGGAGGGCTCCTCATCAGCAGAACATACAACAGGATTTCAAAAACTCAAGTGTAAAGGAAAACCACACACACACACACACATACACATCAAATGTTGAACTACAACAGCAATCATCCTACAGTCCTATGTTGTATACAAACATTATTCTCAGGATATAAGTGAAAAACTTGGGCACTGTGATAGAATGTAGTTCCATATTAGATTTGTTTATTTGATATAAAGCGCACAGTGATACAGTATTATTTAATTGATTACGTTTCGAGCATAAATTATTGCTCATAATCATATCAATGTAATCACACTTCTTTCGATATCTGATTTAATAGTCCTGTCACCTGACCAGTCAGCCAGAGTTCATCCTTGCTTATTAATATTACTCTGGCTTTCTGATCTTCAGTATGGAGTGAGCGTAGGCGGCAGCTGTTGATGAAGTTGTGCAGTTTGTTGAATGTGACACGCCAAGTTTGTTAACCATCACATAGAAGCACTGACTTGACTAGCATTGGTGTTGAAAATGTGGATCTCGTTCACGCGTTATGCTGAGTGCAGTGTAGTAGATCTCCAGACTGATTTCAGGTTGATGCAGGAAGGTTTGTCTTACTGTCTTTCCGATCCTGGCTTGCTTTGACGTTCTCGTCTGTGCCAGCTGTAGTTGTGACGGAACTGCCTAGATAGGTGTAGGTGAAAGAGGCTGCTTCCTTTAAGTTTTTCCCATTGATGGTGACTGGAGCTTGTTGTTGTTGTTGGTGGTGGTATTGGTTGGATATCATCTCACCTGTGTCTTCTCTACGTTCACTCGAAGTCCCATCTTCACTGCTCTGACTGTTCTGTCAACGTGTTCGTTTTTGCCTGTAGATCTTCGAGTTTGTGCGACAACACATTACACATAAATCATCGTCGGCGGCGAAATTCAAATCTTTTAAGGTTTTTTCATCAATCCAGCGTATGCCCATCTTCTCAGTCCTAATAGTTTCCTGTATGATCAAGTCCAGTCGACCACAATCAGGGAGATCATCGGTGTTAGTAGGTGGCAGCCTTGTCCTACTCCTATTTAGAGTTAAATCCACTGAAATAATTCCATTTACTGAGACTTATTTAGTGACAGAATATGTTTTATTGATAAAAGTTATATGTGATATAAGCGAAAATCCAAAAGGTGTAAACAGAACAAAAACATTTAATGTGAAAAATTGAGAATAAAATAAAAAATAAAGCCAAAAACATCTGAGATAACCTGACATAAGAGTGATGAATGTTCAAGATATCCAGATGCCTTATTAATTAATTAACCACGTTAGGATGATGATGAGCAAAAGAGATTTAACATAACTGCAAGTATAGCTCTGGTTTCAAGTCATGAATTGCCAAGCTTTCTGTAATGGAGACATAAACATTTACCAAGGGATTGGTTGGATTTTGTAAATAATATTGAATGAGGTGTTCAAAGCTCAAGTGTCCGGAATCTTCTTTCCCCCTTTACTAAACCATACTGGGAAATGTTTTCGAAAGTGGAGGAGGATAGGCCTAGAAGAATGATCTCTACATAGCTCCACAGAAGCATGTGAATTTGTAGAAGCACACTGAACTGGTCAGTCTTAGAAAATTATTTTCCACTATGAGGCATATTAGACGGTGACTATGATGTATCATTCTGAGATTTAGTGCACTAAACGTCTTATGAATCAATCTCTCTAGACGGTTATTTTACGGATATTATCAGCAGTATCTTTATGGAATTTTAAATTCAAGAACAATATCTTCTTCATAGATGGTGATGATTTAATTGGTTGTAACTAGCAGAGAAATCCAGGGTACGGGTTCCCTTCAATATCACTCATTGAACTGCAGGTACATCCAGCTGACGAGTTCCAAACAGGGCGAAACGCGCGTCCTGGGTTCCTCTGCTAGCTACAGTCAATTCAATCATAATAAATATTCAGGTAATATATAGACATTTGCACAGGAGCCCATATACCAACAGAAATAAAACACTTCAATCCAGTATAATAACTTAGAATGACAAGTTTATCAAAACATAGTGCCAGTCATAGTTAACGTGTTGTTGTGTTTCATATTTATCAGCATTTTAACTATCTGAGAGAGGCATTGGTTGAGCAGACTAATATTTATATTGGGTGATCATTGAAGGTGAAATGAAAGTTTGAACCACTATCGGATTCGAGCCAACTACCACTGGGCATTTGGAACAACTTTTATTGTGTTGTGAGAATAGCGAGGAAATTAGACTGCCTTTTTTGGTTGATAGAACTCAACTATAAAAGTTCGTCAATTGTTCAATCCATGTTGATTTTCTGTATACCAATCTCTTCAGTGTACATTTGCCTTTTCTTAGTTGTGGAACATCTAGGAATGTAATTTTTCCCATTGTAAATGATTAAAGTGTCTTAGAATTTTTTCTTCATCAAGTATGTTATCATATATGATGAAGATGTCATCAACACATCTCTTATATAGTCTATGCTGGCCATAAAGAAATCGGCTAGTAGTAAACTCAAGGGAGATCTCATGACTGCATCAACGTTTTGTGTGTGCATCTCTTCGTTGAAGGTAAATTCCACTTTTAGCGTACATCTAAAGATAATTTTTTAAAAAAATAGGTAGTAGGCATGCCAATATGCATATAAAGTAGTTATTACTATTATTTTTCCCTTAGGTTCCTAGTGGAACATAGGGCTTCAGTAGCCAGCCTCCATTCCACTCTCTTCTCTGTAGTCTTTTGAACCTGGCGCCACGATTGCCCATAGGCTTTCATTTCTTCCTCCCACCACTTCCTCCATTTCACTCTCACCTCGGACGCCCAACTCGCTGTTTCCTCTTTGGATTCCACTCGAGGGCCTGAGACCTGATGTCTCCTGTCGGTCTTCTCAGTGTGTTTCTAATCAAATCCACCTCCACTTTCGTCTGCATATTTGCTGGGCGATAGGTTTTTGCCTCGTTGGTTCGTTGCCAGTCAGCCAGAGTTCATCCTTGCTTATTAATATTACTCTGGCTTTCTGATCTTCAGTATGGAGTGAGCGTAGGCGGCAGCTGTTGATGAAGTTGTGCAGTTTGTTGAATGTGACACGCCAAGTTTGTTAACCATCACATAGAAGCACTGACTTGACTAGCATTGGTGTTGAAAATGTGGATCTCGTTCACGCGTTATGCTGAGTGCAGTGTAGTAGATCTCCAGACTGATTTCAGGTTGATGCAGGAAGGTTTGTCTTACTGTCTTTCCGATCCTGGCTTGCTTTGACGTTCTCGTCTGTGCCAGCTGTAGTTGTGACGGAACTGCCTAGATAGGTGTAGGTGAAAGAGGCTACTTCCTTTAAGTTTCTCCCATTGATGGTGATTGGTTGTTATTGGTTGGGTATCTTCATCAATCTCTGTCTTCTCTACGTTCACTTGGAATCCTGACCTGGTTGCCCTGACTGTTCTGTCAACTTGTTCGTCTTTGTCTGTAGATCTTCGAGTTTGTGCGACAACACATTAGACATAAATCATCGTCGGTGGCGAAATTCACATCTTCTAATGTGTTTTCATCGGTTTAGCGTAAGCCCATGTATATAAAGTATACAGTTACTGTAAGTGGTATATCAGTGAATGAGGAATTGACATCCAATGACATATTAAGAATGAACCTAGAAGTATTCCAGGTTTATGTGTAACTTAAGTTGTACTTGGTGTTACTCATATGAGTAGATATAAGTAGTATATGTTAAGAGGTCAACAGAAGCCTGAGATATTTACCAGCGATGGGTGAATATTTTATACAGGGAAACGTAAAAGACAATGTTGGTATATGAAAAACAAATCGAAATAGTAGAAGAAGAGGAAATCAAGCACATTGTGGTAAATGTGTAGTCTATGGATAATAGATCCAATAGGTTTCAATTTTTTGAAACTGATTAGTTGTAATTATGAAGTTACTATTGTAAGTTATTCTTCAACAAACTACAATTGTATTCCTTTATCCATTAGATTTCAAAAATCTAATATTATCCAGTTGATTAAGTAGTATTAAACCTACTCAATTATCAGAGTAGTATGATCAAGGTGCTACCTACCAGTGTAAATGAAACTCTTCAACTCTCTAATGTATATTCTGCTGACATTGAATGATGTCATTTACTATACAAACCAGTTTATTTCATGCTAATCTAAATTTTGATCATAATTTAACCCTTTTAATTACATTCGTATCATATCCTTTCCTATTCTTTTCTAGCATTCATCAAATATAGATACAATTCAATCAAAGATAAACTGATTTCAACTTACTGGAATAATTGTAGTGAAAAACTTCAAAAATTACAATTAGAAAATAATAATTCTAGTCAAGATAATAAAAAATTATTATATCCCTTGAATGAAAACTATCAGTATAATGAATCGATAATGTTTGGTGAAGGTAAGATCAATCAGTGTATAATATAATCAAATTCAGTAGTATATTTGAAGTAAACCATTATGAAGAGAAATGTTAAAATGATTCTTATTACCTATTTTCACTATATATTTATTTATCTATTTCTAGGAAACTTTGAAAATAGTCCTTTAAAATATCGAATACATCGAGGATAAGTATCTATGGTTTTATTCTATTCTGAACCATTTCAACAGTGTGCTCATCTAACGTCCAAGTCACAGTATATGCAACTTCTCAGTTTTATGGTGTTGAAGTACAAACATAATATATATTCAGGTGCCTAGTATTCAAAATAAGATCGATTTATTCCATGGAGTGTATACAGAAAGAACAACTGTGTGTCCGAGATATCCGGTAATGTTCATGAAAGTTGACATCAATTACATTGATCCTCAACAAGAATCGATAACAATGCGATTACAATTGAAGGGATAGGCTTGAATCACAATGCCTAACTAGATGAGTCAATAGGACGTTTTATGCATATCGGGTTTGCATATGATTCAGTGGTCGGCCAATGCTCATTTCGAGACTGTAGAATAGCCTACCTAATCTTAACTACATAGGACGTCCCATTACACAGGTATATCTGTGGATACGAGAGTATTTACCAGCTTGGTTTAGAAAGTACGAAGTGAAAGTGGTTAAAAATTCAGTTCTAACGCATCTAGTCGACACACAGCATCATATAAATACTAATAAAGCCTTCAGTATCATTCATCGTGTTCCAAAAACGACAACACATGTGGCTCGTCAACGCTTTCTCAACATAGTCTAGGCTGTCCAAATAAGAATGATCATGCCTAAACTCTGAATTCAGAAAGAACATGTCTAAGCATTACTTCTCCTTTAGTCTTCAATAAACTAAAGGGCACTTCTTCCATTTTATGAGTTATATTTTCGTTTCAGTATCATATCATTCATTCTTGAAAGAAGATTCTTCTTTCAGACTGTTTCGAAAAAGGGGTGGGCAGATTGGAAGATAGAGTTGAATATACTCCTTAACAATTTCACTAGACTGATCTGTATATTTAACCAACCAGATGAGTGATCTAAACACCGGATAGATGTTTCGCTTGTTTGATACCAGGCTCATCATCTGTGTGCTCGAAAATATTCAGCTCACATAGTCGAATCATTTCAGATCACCTGAATCTGGCTAGTTCATGACACTCATGTGTCACAACTTGTAATATTCCACAATAGTTGACCAATTTTGCAGACAGTCATTACGTAATTTAACGATTACTAGTTGGAGATAAGTAGACATTAATGAAATTATGAAATCCATAGATAACTAAGTGATGGCATTTTTGTTAAAATCGCTTGAAAAACAATTCAACTGGAATATGATCGTCTTGTTATCTTCCATTATCCAGTTTCAAATTCACTGAGATGTTGACTTAATACTTTCACTTCTGAGGGATGTGAGAAAGATTACTATGGAAGTGAAAATGATAAACTAACAGATTGAAATGAATTGTCCCATTCATCTCTTTTTTTACGATCATTCAGTAATGTTGATCATCATCAATATCAACATAGGACCAGACATTACTGCGTAACTGTCCCAGTTGCTACACCTCATATCAGTACATCAAGTAGAAAGGTAGTGAGGTGAAAGATGAAGATAAGGAAATTCGGTCAAAAGAAATATAAGGTACGAGAAGAAAGAAAGGGGGGATGACAAAATGGTGAGAATCGGTATAGCGTGGTTAAGATGATGATAATGTGTGTGGATACTTCTGTGCCACTGATGTCGGTTGTGAGCCATGTGATCGCCTAGAGTCTCCAACCACTGGTTCGTGTAGTCCCACGGACCCCAACCACCTAGTCTGCATCACTCAAACCAACAGTCAGAGACTTCATGCATTAGTGTCATGTTTTAGTTTGGCCACCTCGGACCTTTTTCCAGCCTGAACCTACTTCGACCAACATTGTGTAACGAGTCAATCGCTAACTAGGCATACGTAACACGTGTCTCAACCATCTCAATCGATGAAGGTCCATAACCTAGTCAACAGATTTACTTCTATTGCCTTAAATTCTATACCTGACTTCTGCAATGCTCATGTCGTGACATCATGGATGTTGATTAAATTATTTAGTGTTTCACGTAAGACATATCTCTATGTGTTATGATTGGAAAACTGCTATTGCCGCTATTGCTGCATGGATATCGACTATCAGCCACCACATTCAACACATTCCTAGTTGATTCTCGATACGACACTGCAGACTAGTCTTTTCTCTCTATCGATATGTCATCTTCCTCTTAGAATAGCGTTATTTGGGGTCAGATTGGGCTGCACTGTCTTTTCTTTGCATCTGTCTGACTGAGGTAGAGGGAGTTTCTCCTTGTTTACTGGGGATAAGTAGTCTTCACGATATTCTTTTGGTGGACAGGTGCATGAGCATGAAAATCAGCTATCAAGCCAAGAGATTTACACACCAATCAAGAATGGGATTATTGGTGGTATCTGGAGGATGGCATTATTATACGTAGTTGTGTATCTTGGCGGCAAAAACCGTCCTTATGGCCTACAGCATTACAATTCCTGGATTGATATTGTTTATGTGAACAAGATTTGACGAAATACTAGTCAGCACACTGCCAGCAATGCGATGGGTGTGTCTTCTTCAAGGGTCGGTTGGTATCATATGAGCCGGTCAACAGAAGAAAAAAGGCCAGGGGGTATGTGACCAGAGGGTGATGTATATATGTATGTACTTCAGAACCAGCATGGTGTCCGGATTCGGTTAAATTCATATCACCCTACAAGTTGACTAGACATGTCATTCAGTGTCTGGCGTATGGCATCGGAAGAGCGATCCTGTGGGTTCCAGCGCGAAATCATGTTGCAGAATTAGTTGAACTCAGTCGGATCAAACTTTTGAAGTAGGAGACGTACCTTCCAGGAATCATCTTGATCAGCAAAATTCACTTTGAAATGACCTTTATAATGCCTGAACCAACTATCTAAAGTCTCATTAGTCTCAGGATCGTAGTGAAATTCAGTGTTGCTATTGGCATTACCATCAATTGGCGTAGTAGGCAATGATTCAGTACCAGAAATTTCGAATTGCTTAAGAATCCCGACAATGCTCAATTCATCGTTTAAAATTGATTGGGTTATCCGTCGTCTGACTGTAGACTTGATAACAAAATACATTTTGATGGTTGACGTTTATTACACGGTACACTTCTCCCCCCCCACCCTAATTTATTTAGGGTGGAAGAAAAAAATTTGAAGTTAATATAGATTGGCTGATTCCTCTGTTACAAGTCACTATGCTTGCGTGGCCAAGGTACTTTCCTATTGGACTAGGACACTTACTCGTTGGAATCTGATTAGTTGACCTGTATTTAGATTGGCTTATGAAACCATTACTTGTCACATAAATTCTGTTTTAAGAGATTAATCGCCTTCAGGTTAAGATTTAATCTAAAATGAATTTAAAATTTGTGGAGAATATTATTGAAAAACCTCAGAAATGCACCAGTCAGTTCTGATGTTTCACTGATTATGAAAGCGGAAGCTATGGGAATAGCCATGAAGTTGATGTTGATGGCTACTAACTCGTAGAGAAAAAGATTCTCATTATTGGTCTTGTAAGTGCCATCGAGACCAGTAGATCAAGACAGTTTTCAGCTACTTTCAGCTGATGGGCTGTAGCGAAAAAAAATGATTTCAGATCTCCACCCTCTATGACAGAGAAGGATGCTGATCCACCTTGACTGATTATATGCGCCTGCAACTTTTCATAACTGTTTACAACAACATCGTTACAAGGGAAATTTCAATTGGCGGTCAAATTACGCTTAGCGAAGAGGCGATAGCGCATATTGAACACATCTTGACTATTCAGTCGTTTACCATAGTGTGCATAAACGAAATCAACAACATTAAATGCAGCTGTTCAGGATATCAGCAACGGCCTTATGCTGTCCAATTCAGCTCCTGTCAACTTATGCGCCCACGAACTATAGTCATAAAGCGGTGGATCGCAGGGATGATTATGAGTTATTAGCCACCCAGTAACTGTCCAGAAACCTTCTAAGAACTTCGTGAGCACCAACGCCCGACAAGAACATTTCAGGGATATTTTATGAAGTAAATAATTTAAACAAACAGAACTGACCTTCTTGTCACTACACCACCTATTGACCGGCGTTCACTAGCCTTATAGCAGATAAACTTAACGTAAGCTCTTCGGTCACCTTGCAAATCTGAACCTCGACCAACGTAGTGTATGTACGTCTGTTTCTCATACTCCTTCAGGGCGACTTTCAAAGACTCTAAGAACGGAAACGTGGCGAGACAAAAACGCTCCATAAACATCGTTTGGTTTTCGGTTACAACACTTTGGAGGGTATCGCTGCTCATCATGAAAACAAAGCAACCCGTCCTCAATTTGCTCCCTTGTATAGTACCTTTGGATTTCGTGGAAGCAATAACATGGGACATTTCATCGTCTATTTTAATTGGACAATAGGTGACACAGGGAGTGAGGGAAAAGGGATAGAAAATAACAGTTTAAAAAAATTATTACCGTGGACCAAATGCATTTCCATTTTGATCGCCCTCTCTTTCTCTCTCTAGACTAGTCTTTTATTTCAGTCAGTATGGTATCATTTTATAAAGGTACTGAACAAAATGGGCAGTTTTAAACTGCATAATTCTACTCCAAGTACATTTAGATGAAACATTATCATAATGTTTACGGAAAGAAATAACTAAGGTTTTAAAACCAGTATGCTGCTGAATCATTACACCTAGCATCACAACATAGTATAGAAGTAAAGAACACATATTGTATTTTTCACCCCCCCCCCTAACCCTTCATTGTTCACTTAACAGATATATGGATCTACTTTCACTATTGTCAAAACAAATAGTTGAATTGATCCATGTTAACTGAACAGTAGGGTTTACACTTATATCACGATCGCATAGGGTACAAGTTGGGATAACTTATAGATAGGACACCTATGAAATCAGATGAATAAATACACTTCACTTTCAGCAGTCTAATGATAGTGGCTAGCAATGGAATCCAGGATGCGCATTTCGTCCTGTTTAGGACTCGTCAGCTGGATGTACCTGCCTCTCAATAGTATTGTTCCCGCCAGGATTCGGACCCAAGAGCAGTCGCTTTGAACATGAGAACTACACCACCACTATACCCGTGTGACGGGTATAGTTTTAGTATTATTGTTTGGATTATACCATTGTTGATTGGACCGAATTGATCGAGTCCCAAATAGGACGAAACGCGCATCCTGGATTCCACTGCTAGCCACTATTCATCTTTACCATAAGTAGAACTACACAGATGTATTGAGGCATCCGTACAGGATCCCCTCTGCCAATAGAGACTGATCAACTCAATCCAATCGACGACGGTATAATGCAATCAATAATACAAAGTCTAATGATAATTTAAAAAAGAGGGTTATTCGAAACACTCAAGTTTTGCAAAGCTTTAGAGAATGAATATATTTTCTCCGTTATGATTTATTTTCTGCCATATCACCAAGATTGCCTAAGAGACTCTAGACAGGTAGTTTACACCTTTGTTCATGAGTGAAACCAACAGTCAGGAACTTCATTGACTTGTACCACGTCTTAATTTTGTCACTCTGAGCCTTCTGTAGCCTTATCCAACTTGTACCATCATTGCATGTTTACATCACCTCAGTTGATGAAGGTTTACAGCCTTATTGACCGTTTGCCTATCTTGCCTAGTATTTCTCACCTGAACTCTGCATTGCTCACATGGTGATTCCACTGTGAGTAAGCAAAGAAGTCATGTAACCATATTATATCGTCTACTTCTGACGATCATGACCACGATTGGTTAAGCAGTACACTCATCCTTTAATGGATTCGATTAATTGTATAAAGTTGACAGTTATGACAATATATGTAAGCGGTAATTATTATACAAGATAAAAATATTTATCCTTTAAATGTTTTATAAAATATATTTAGATGTTATTGGTCGTGAATTAATTTCAAAAAGGAAAGTGAGAACACAGTTAAATTTTATTGCTTCAAACAAACGAAAAGTTAATCAAGGAAATGTTAAAAGTTGTTTTTCTAAAACATATGGTCAACTATACAAGGTCAAATCCCATTTAAATACTGGGTAGGAAAATTTTCTTTATTAAAAAAGGTTTTGATTCTTAATTATTGTAAGATATACACATTTTTTTCAAGTTGGTATTCATCATGAATTGATACTAATTGGAGGAATATAGGAGCCTTTGAACCTACGACCCCGTAAAGAATTTCTTGGCCAGCACTTTACCATTCATCTACTGGGTCGGAACCCAATGATCTATATTTCCAACTTCTCTCAGTTCACGATATAACGCAACTGCCACCCAATATCATTGTTGAGTATTTGTTCTCATAGTCACTTGGTTACACATTTGGCTAAGTGAACAATATGAAGTAAGAAGTGACATTATTTGAGATGGATTTCCTATGGAGTCTATCAAGTCGACGCGTCAAGATGGAATATTCATCGATGACACAACTAGTTTCCTCAATAATGTCTACATCTCTAGGGTATGATATTCTTTGACAAAACGTGATTTACTCTTGTTTAACAAATCAAGTCAGTATAGATGTATGATGAAGATAATGTGTCAATGCATTTGTACCACTGACATATATACTGAGAAAGATCATTCAGAGTCTTCACCCACTGGTATTCAGTTGTCATGTAGACCTCACTTTGGAAGTTTACATTCCTCTACATGGCTCAAATCAACAGTCAGAGAATTTATGTATCGTTGCCACGCTTTAGTCTGATCGTCTCTAACTTTTTACCAGCCTACAGTTACTTTAACTAATAATGTATGGTAGTGGACTGGATTATGCAACAAACTATGAGGAGCGAGAAGAGGGAGATGCGCTGGACCGCGGAAAAGAATCTATAAGATTTGGATTTCACCGATGATGATTTATCTCTAACGTCACACAAACTCGAAGATCTACATGCGAAAACTAACAAGTTGACAGAAGAGGCGGGGCAGCGAAGACAAAGGTGATGATGATACCCAACCAACAACAACAAGCACCAATCACCATCAACAGGAGAAACCTAAAGGAAGTAGCCTCTTTCACCAACAGCTACCCAGGCAGCACTGTTTCCACTACAGTTGGCACAGATGAGGACGTCAAAGCCAGCCAGGATCAGAAAGACAGCAAGACAGGCGTTCATTAACTTGAAACTAGTGTGGAGATATCCTCCACTGCACTCAGTGTAAAGTGTAAACAACATCCATATTTTCAACATCAATGTCAATTCAGTGCTTCTGTATGTCTCAGAGACTTGGCGCGTTACGAAAGGGATTTCCAACAAACTACAGACATTCTTCAACAACTGCCTACACTGGCTCGTTACTGAAGATCAGATGGCCAGAACAATATGAAGAAGCAACAAAGAACTCACTCTGGATGGCAACGAACCAACGAAGCAAGAAGCTGTCGCTGAACAAATATGCAGAAGGAAGTGGAGATGGATTGGTCATGCACTTAGAAGACCGATTGGGGACAACATGCGCCGTGCCAGGTGCTCGAGTAGAACCCCGATGGGAAGCGACGAGTTGGGTGTCCGAGGTGAGGGTGACACGGAGTAGATTGTGTGAGGAAGAAATGAAAGCTTCTGGGCTGCCGTGGAACCAGGTTCAAAAGTTTGCAGAGAAGAGAGTGGAATGGAGACGTGCTACTGAAGCCCTATGTTCCACTAGGAACACAAGGGACAAATAATATAATAATAATAATAATGTACGGTGAGGCTGACGGCTGCTGGACATGCGTAACACATTCCTATATGCTGACATACATTCTTATGCTGACTATTCAGAGGTTCTCCATTGATACAATGATCAAAGGAACATTTTAGAGAAGGTAGCACACCCGAATAAAGCAATCATGATAGAAACTGAAAACAGCAATAAATTCCACTTCCTAGACATTGGCCTACTATGTCATACAAACGGAAAGATCCATATATACCTTCATCAGAAAGACGCAAAAACTTCAATAGCCTATACCGAAAGAAAAAATGCCTAGTAAGTACACTTTTCAGTCGTACATGTACAGAGGAAGAAAAAATTGAGGAATTACTGACTTTTTTTCGAAAACTCTTTACGTGAAAATGGTTACTCACAAAAGTTCATTGACAAGTATGGTAGGACTGAAGTGATGAGAATTTACTGCAGTACAATTGACAAGAAGCTCATTTATCTACACTTTGCAATTCAAAGGAGATGAAATCGCTACACAGATGAATCATAGACTGCGTTATAATAAAAAGGACCTAATGAGTCTGTGTGTATCAGACTAAGTGTTCACTGAGACAGTTTAAAGTGGAAAAGTTCCCAACTCTTGTTACCTCCAGTTGTATTTATCAATTCAGATGTAAGTATCAAGGCATATACATCGGAAGAACAAAGGGAAGGGTTCTTATCTACATTTCTGAACATATTTCGGATCTTTAGAGTCCTAAGTGTTCACAGGGCTTAAATAGTTCAATCACTCGGCATTTTTTTGATACTGGACATAAATAAGGTCGATGTATTGAAAACATTCAAAGTGATCAATAAACAACTGAAACCCACTGTTTATGGTTAACTGGGGCAGTTGCAATTCAAAGACTTACACCTAATCTGTGTTCAGAAAGATGATACTGCTTTCAATCTTGCATTAGCTTGTTAAGTTTAAGTAGAAATAAAAGAATTTTATGACCTCATGACCCTTCTTTTTTACCACTTAATTTTTCTATCTCTAAACTTACCCTCACTGTCTGAGTTGTATTCATCTTATTGCTCAATATTATGTAAACCTGTTGACGTTTTATTACGTTTACTTAGCCATGACATCCCGTTTGCAAATTCTAGAACAACCCCCTCCTACAAGTAAACATATATATATATATATACATATGATGGACAGTGGCCAGCAGGGGAATCCAACTTGACGCGTGTTTCGTCCTGATTCGGACTCGTCAGACGGATGTATCTGGCTCCCAGTCAATGATGTTGTATCAGCTAGGACTCAAACTTGGAACTGATCGCTTCAAACGCCGAAGCGAAATCCACTAAACCACTGCTGCTTTTTTTGCGAGACGGGTATAGTTTTAATGTTGTTACTTGTATTATTCCGTCGTTGATTAGACTGAATTGATCGATATCTATTGACAAATGGGCTCCTGCATAGATGCCTCGATATTGCCTATCATTTCAATATTTCATTGCATTGATTGGTCACGGGAGTGAAACCAATTTCATGTTGTCTAGTCCTGAGTGAAAACCGAATCCTATCGATCATATTTGCGATGTGGCAACCAACCTAGGAAGCTGAGCATCACGGTGCACATTAGTAGATATTAGTTGGTTGGAGGCAATCGGCAGGAAGCCCTGCTTCACCTCCTGGGCTTCGTGCTTTTTGTCATTGGTGATCAAGGCGTATTTGCAAGGTGTTGTCGGAAGTGATGTCCCACCTGATATTCGAACATGCATCACCCAGTGTTGTAGTCAGCTATTTTGCGACTGAGCTATTCAGGCTGCGATTGAGCTTCTGTAGGACTGGTTTACATGTATTGATTGGTCAATGGTAAAGTCACTGACTTCAACACTGGGTGACGCGGGTTCGAATCTCAGACGGAATATCAGTTCCGTCGAGGTCGCAGATGCGCCTTGCTGACGAGTGCCAAGAAGCACGAAACCTAGGTCAAACAGGGCTTCCTGAAGATTGCCTACATCCAGGTGATAATATTTCACTAATGATGGATGGTATACCCGTTGCACAAGATGTGGCCATCATGACTCGTTGGTCTAGTGGTCTAGTGGTCTGGCGTTTGAAGCGATCGGCCATGATTTTGAGTCCTAGTGGCAACAACATCTCTCACTGGGAGACAAATATATCCATCTGACGAGTCCCAAATAGAACGGAAAACGCATCCTGGATCCTACTGCTAGTCACTATGCATCATCCACATATAACTAAAGCATGGGCAATATCGAAGCGTCCGTGCAGGAGCCTATATGCCAATAGAAATCGATCTATTCGGTCCACTCAACGTATATATATATATATATATATATATATATATTCCTTGTTATCTTCTCTCGAATGTTAGTTCTATGACTACATTGTATGACAATTTGTATCATTATTATTATTATTTGTCCCTTGGGTTCCTAGTGGAACATAGGGTTTCAGTAGCACGTCTCCATTCCACTCTATTCTCTGCAAACTTTTGAACCTGGTTCCACCACTGCCCACAAGCTCTTATTTCTTCCTCTCACGATGTCCTCCATGTCACCGTTGCCTCAGACACCCAACTCGTCGCTTCCCATCGGGGTTCCACTCGAGCACCTGGCATGGCGCATGATGTCCCCGAACGGTCTTCAAGGGCAGCCTTGCTAGGTTCAAACATGGTGCGGACATTCCATGTCCCCAAGTTTACTTTCGCTTTCATCGAGAGAACACACATTGGCCAGTTGGCTTCCCGAAGGCTTTCACCAACCGGCGTCATTTCGCCTCTCCGATTCCAGCGAGGGATAAGTTTGTTTTTATTTTTTATGTTTCGTTTGTGCTTTGAAGTTTCTTTAGCGGTTGGATTTGTTTTCCGGTGTAGGGTTGCTAGCCCTACGCCTAACCTTCCCTTTTTATCGGGGCTTAGGACCTGCTAGTAACTATTGAACTAGTTGACCAGGCGAGGTTGTATCAGAAACACGACATTCTATAGATTGTAGAACAAGTGAGAAGAATCTACAAAATACATGCATACAAATCTGCTACTAATGTTTTTTCTTGCTTTATCTAAATATTTTTGCGAAAACTTGCTCTTCAGTAGGAAGTAAATAAGAGGAAATATTTCTTCGGCTTATCTCTAAATAAGTTTATCCTAGTGTAGAGTTATTCTCATTCCTTTTTTCTTTTTTGTAATTTTTTTTTTCACAAACAACATTAGTTCAACGCAGTGTATCGCACAAACTCAAGTTCCAATGAGTTCAAGTTTGAAGATGATAATGCGTCAAAGAGAATACTTCCAGTCTGATCCAGTATTGTTTTCGGATAGACATATATTGGAGAATAAAGAAGATTATATACATGAATCTCAATGTAATAATAACAATAATTTGAATATGAACAATTTCATGATACCATCACCAATATCATCTGCAACCTATAAGCAAGTACAATTTCCACCTAAAATAAATAAACCCCTTTTTGTAAGTATTTACCTTTCAGTATCTTTCAGGTATTTATTCACTTTGTCTGCTTACTTATAGGTTATTTACAGGTACATCAAACTTATATGCCATTATTTACAATAAAGTGACCGTAATTCATAACCCTAGACCAAAGTATTTTTAAAGGTATCATCCATCTATCCAGATCAACTTTAGGACCAGGCATTACTGCGTAACTGTCCCAGTTGCTACACCTCATATCACTACATCGAGTAGAAAGGTAGTGAGGTGAAAGATGAAGATAAGGAAATTCAGTCAAAAGAAATATAGGGTACGAGAAGAAAGAAAGGAAGAATGACAAAATGGTGAGAATCGGTATAGCGTGGTTAAGATGATGATAATGTGTGTGGATACTTCTGTGCCACTGATGTCGGTTGTGAGCCATGTGATCACCTAGAGTCTCCGACCACTGGTTCGTGTAGTCCCACGGACCCCAACCACCTAGTCTGCATCACTCAAACCAACAGTCAGAGACTTCATGCATTAGTGTCATGTTTTAGTTTGGCCACCTCTGACATTTTTCCAGCCTGAACCTACTTCGACCAACATTGTGTAACGAGTCAATCGGTAACTAGGCATACGTAACACGTGTCTCAACCATCTCAATCGATGAAGGTCCATAACCTAGTCAACAGATTTACTTCTATTGCCTTAAATTCTATACCTGACTTCTGCAATACTCATGTCATGACATCATGGGATGTTGATTAAATTATTTAGTGTTTCACGTGAGACATATCACTATGTGTTATGGTTGGAAAACTGCTATTGCCGCTATTGCTGCATGGATATCGACTATCAGCCACCACATTCAACAGATTCCTAGTTGATTCTCGATACGACTCTGAAGACTAGTCTTTTCTCTCTATCGATATGTCATCTTGCTCTTAGAATACGAGAAGGTACGAGAAGAAAGAAAGGGGGGATGACGAAATGGTGAGAATCGGTATAGCGTGGTTAAGATGAGGATAATGTGTGTGGATACTTCTGTGCCACTGATGTTGGTTGTGAGCCATTTGATCACCTAGAGTCTCCAACCACTGGTTCGTGTAGTCTCACGGACCCCAATCATCTAGTCTGCATCGTCCCTCATGGCTCAAACCAACAGTCAGGGACTTCATACATTTTGTGTAGGGAGCCGATTTTTTTAAATACACCATATTGAGAATTCGATACTGTACCAGATATGTTGTCTGAAATAAAGCGATTATAATAATAATTATTATTTCACTATCTGAGATTACCGTAGTTTATCACACTAGTATTTATATTAGTTGATGATTGAAGGTGAAATGAAAATCTAGACTGCGGCCGGAATCGAACCAGTGACCACTGGGTTACCGGCCTGGTGCTCTACTAACTGAGCTACGAGGTCCGTACTGCTGACCAGAATTTTATTTTACTTCGATACTAGACTAGTATTTATACCAAGTGATGATTGAAGGTGAAATGAAAATTTGAACCGTGACTGGAGTCTAACCAGCGTACACCTGATGACCATTGACTTTTGACTGTTGAGTAAACTATCCAAGATAACTATGATTGATAGACTAGTCCTAGTAAGGCTGATGATAAGTGAATATGAAACTAATCCAGAGTAACACGATAAGATTGAATATGCATATTTTCTCAACTAACTAAGCTATGAATTTCACCATTAAGCCAGTAAGCTGATATTTTGGTAACTAGAATGCCACTGATTGGATTCTTGCAACGATCTAGTTGTTTCATCAGCTTCAAACTTTGATTTACCCCATTTTTTTTGGTTACTGTCTACAGTTTGCTCCTTTTATACGAATATTCATTCACTTACTGTTATGTGGTGTGTATTGTTGTAGGTTTCATAATGATTAACTGTAAAATATGTCTTATTCTCAGCAGAATATGTTTGGTTTCAAACAAGTATATTTTCTTTGTGACATGAAATGCGTGATTATAAAGTATAAAGGTGAAGATTATAAGAATATATTTCCATTTAGTCCGAGCGTGTGCTTAAGAAATTAAAACAAGATATTTCTGAATGTTTCGCTGTGTAAGCCACACCTTCTTCAGCAGAACATATGGATTTTTATTAACATTAAAATATATAGTCATACATCAGATATATTTATTGAAGGTAGGTCATTGGTTGGATGATTTTCCTGTTCAACCTGAGTAATTAAGATTATGATTTGACTATCTGAGATGGCTGTAGTTTGTCAGACTAGTATTTATACTGGGTGATAATTGAAGGTGAGATGAAAATTTGAACCGAGGCCGGATTCGAACCAGCGACCAACGGGTTACCGGCTGAAGTGAAATAAAATCCTTGTCAACAGTCGGATCTCGTAGCTCAGTTGGTAGAGCATCGGGCGGATAACCTGGTGGTCGTTGTTTCGAATCCGGTCGCAGTCCAGATTTTCTTTTCACCCTCAATCATCACCCAGTATAATTAAGATTAGTCATTGCAATTTCATTCTTGTTATTATTGTCATTTGTCAAAGAGTATTTAGATAATCAAATTATGTGTGAATGTGTGTTTATGTGTGTTGTGGAATACGTGTTAGATATTCTACTTTTGAATTTTGAGGGAGTTGTGGAGATTTGGAAGTATTTCATTGTAGACTGACTGGTGAGGTCGTGGGTGCGCACTTCTGAGGAGTCCCATACTAGGACGAAACAGTTGTCCAGTGCTCCCAGGTTTCCTTTGTTCCTCCAACTAATGTCAGTCTACAATGAATAACAACTTGAAATATTTCACTTTTATTTATAAAACTGTCAATAATTGTCATTGTTATCGTTGCTTCAATTCGAAAAACTCATAATTAGTGAGTTTGTCAAATTAATGTTTACCAAACAAGTAATAAGTCTTTTCCTTCTTTTCTATTTAAATTAACAATTATTGTAGTGATGAATAGTGACTAGCAGTGGAATATAGGATGCACATTTCGTCCTATTTGGGACTGGGAGGCAGGTATATCCAGCTGACAAGTCCCAAATAGGACGAAATGCGCATACTGGATTCCACTGCTAGCCCCTATCCCTCATTATTATATGGTTAAGAACACACGTAATATCGAGGTATCCACACAGGATCCCATATACCAACAGAGACTAATCAATTCAGTCCAATCAACGATAGTAGAATACAAGCAATAATACTACAACATTAAATTTTCTTATAATATACAGGACCTCAGAAGTTGGTCTTTGTTTATGCGAATGGAAACCTTTACCTAATATATCTACATTCTTAAAGTCAATCATGTATCCACTTTCAATTGCATGCATAGCTATTACTAAACGCTTTTATTAATTTAGTGATTCGTCTTGATTCCTAGGTGATGTTTCGTATATAACTTGTGTTCATTCACCTTAACTTTTAAGGTTCTACAACTTTATCCAACATAATTAGCTTTACATTCCAAGTATTTAATTTTGCAGACACGTTTATTCTGGGTATCTTACGAATTGAATCTTTTACTTTGACTAAGACGTTTTAGAATGAATTTGAAGGTTGAAAACAGAATTTAATACCATGCAAGGCACACACTTTTTTAATCTGTTCAGAAGTACCTTTCTGATATGGTATCATCATAGATGATGCCCATGATATTTATCATTGCTACTATTATTATTTATCCCTTGGGTTCTTAGTGGAACATAGGGCTTCAGTAGCACGTCTCCATTACACTCTGTACTCTGCAATCTTTTCAACCTGGCTCCACGACCTGCCACAAAGTCTCATTTCTTCCTCATACAATCTCCTCCATATCACCCTCAACTGGGACGACCAACTTGTCGTTTCCCATTTGGGTTCTAATTGAGTACCTGGCCCGATGCGTGATGTCCCGGAAGGTCTTCTCAGTGCATGCCCAATCCATCTCCACTTCCTTCTGCATATCTGTTACATCAAAGGTTGTCGGTTGATTCGTTGCCAGCCAGACAGCCAGCCAGAGTTCCTCCCTGCTTATTCTTATTATTCTGGCCATCTGATCTTCAGTGTCAGTATCAAGTGAGCGTTGGTGGCAGCTATTAATGAATGTCTGTAGTTTGTTAGAAGTGCTTTTCATGACACGCCAAGTTTCTGGAACATATAGAAGCACTGACGTGACTGGCATTGGTGTTGAAAATGCGGATGTTGTTCATGCTTTATGCTGAGTGGAGTGGAGTGGAATGGAGTGCATTAGATCTCCACACTGATTTCAGGTTAATGCAGGAAGGCCTGTCTTGCTGTCTTTCCGATTGTGGCTGCTTGGACGTCCTCTTGTGTGCCTGTGCTGTCTGTAGTTGAAGCAGTGCTGCCTAGATAGGTGGAAGAGGTGCTTTCCCTTAAGTTTCTCCCGTTGATGGTGATTGGTTGTTGTTGTTGTTGTTGTTGGTGGTGGTGGTGGTGTAGGTTGGGTATCTTCATCACCTTTGTCTTCTGTACGTTGACCTGAATTCCCGTCTTCGCTGCCCTACCCTATCTCTCCTGTCAACCTGTTAGTTTTTGACTGTAGATCTTCAAGTTTGTGTGACATTGGACATAAGTCATTCATGATTTTGTTGTAGCTTTATTACTACTACTAGTAGTAGTAGTAGTACTTGCTGCTTTATTCTTTTGACAGATAATGTTGTTCCAGAACTTTTAAAGGTATCCATTTTCCATTAAATTATGGTTTATTCGGGAAATTTCATTCTGTAAATCATTAGGATCTGCTACAATGTTTTTCATCCTGTTTAATAGGTTCATTGTGACACTAGCCTTTATGTTAGTTAGATGATCCGATTGGAAGTCTAAATATTTATCTGAATGTGTTCATTTTCTGTATATTTTCTTACTGAAATTACTTTCAGTCGTTCTCTGGATAAGGTAGCCTAAAACATTTAGGCTAGCGTCCTTAGATTCTATTTGTCTAGTGAATTTAATGGAGTCTGAAGTAAAATTTATATATTCTTGGAATTCCTGTTAGTTTGCTTTCTTAAGACTGACAAATGTGTCATCCACATATCTATAGCAAATTCTAGGTTGGCAATTGATACTTCTTAAAGCTCTTTCTTCTAAAGCTTTCATATAGAAAGTCACCACAATTAGAGATCGCGGTGAACCCATTGCAACTCCATTTTATTGACGGTATATTCTATCTCTTAACATGAAATATGTAGATTCTAAGCAAAGCCCCAACGATTTTATAATATTCCCTGTTGAAAGTGAATATTCAGATATTATATCTTGGTTGTTATTAATACCAGTTCTTACAATTTCTAGACAATTACTGAAAAGAGAAATTACATTTATTGATTGATCATGGGAGTGAAACCAATTTCATATTGTCTAGTCCTGAGTGCAAACCGAATCCTATCGATCATATTTGCGATGTGGCAACCAACCTAGGAAGCTGAGCATCACGGTGCACATTAGTAGATATTAGTTGGTTGGAGGCAATCGGCAGGAAGCCCTGCTTCACCTCCTGGGTTTTGTGCTTTTTGTCATTGGTCAGCAAGGCGTATTTGCAAGGTGTTGTCGGAACTGATATCCCACCTGAGAATGGAACATGCATCACCCAGTGTTGTAGTCGGCTATTTTGCGACTGAGCTATTCAGGCTGCGATTGAGCTTCTGTAGGACTGGTTGATCACGGGAGTGCAAACAATTTCATGTTTTCTAGTCCTGAGTGCAGATCGAATCCTATCGATCATATTTGCAATGTGGCAACTAAGCTAGGAAGCTTAACATCGTGGTATACATTAGTAGATGTTAGTTACACCAAAACTTGGCATAATTTCATCCTCTTCTATGGTCATATTCAACGGTTTGTATTTGAAATCCTGTACATTTTTTAATGATTGAAGAAGTATCATATTGGAATGGTTTCAGAATTATTCATAAATATTTAAATAGACGATAAGTTATCGAACTTTTAATGTCAATAATTGGTCTAAGGGGAATCCCTATTTTGTGGGTTTTTGGTCTACTCTAGGGTCTTGCGATTGTATTCGTATTAGAAGCTAATGAAAAAGGTCATACATTTATATCAGTCTTTAACTGAGTTTCTCTATTCTACATAATAATGCTCATTTGGAGTTTATAAATTCTACTGTATATATAATTTATCTTATTTTCCAACTTATTAATTAAGCCTGATTCACATGGGTATTTCAATCCTCTATACTCAGTGTATACAACTAAGGATAAACCTTCGAAAGCATATCATAAAATCAATCAACCTACTGGATCCTACTGGGAAATTCATGAAATGTATAGTTCACGTGAACCGTTAAATACTGATAAATTGAACAATAATGTTCAAACAGAAAATTGTAACAGAAATCATAGTGGTACATACTATCCTGTAAGTTTTATGAAAGATACTTGTATGACTACAATTTCTTTCTTTCAATTGATCCATTTAATAATCTAATAGTTATATAGACCTATAATGAATATTACTGTAACAATAAAAGTAGCTAAAATACTTTTTTTTTTTACTGAATGTTTGAGTTCTCCCAGAGAAAACTGAAATTCACCCAATATATTATATGGTTCTTATTTATTTGTTATTACACTCTTCAGGTTTTACATATTTATATTCAATTGATCAATATTGTTTAGTTTATGAGTAGATAACTAACCAGCCATATCAATTATGATGGTGCCTGGGAGAAATGTAGATCTTTGTTTTAAAATGCCTATCATTCTGAGGATATTCGATGAACCTGCATATCTGACCATTGATATCATCACAGGATTAGTCACGTTTAATAGAAATAGCATGTACATAATTCCGATGAAGATTGTCATTCATTTAATGTGATCATCATAAGACACCGCGTTCGGCAGCTGGGATGTATTTCCCTATGTCTAAGTGTCTCTCACACCACTTACTGCTCGTCTTCCCTGAGACTGATTGAAGGAAGCGAAGAGATGGCCAGTGTATGATAAAGCGTCGTAGAATGAAGAACAATTAATTCAGGTTAGTATCTGTAAGTGCTTCATGACTTCCCAGATGGGTTTCGAGAGACCGTGCAACTCAGGGAATGGAAACCAGCAGTGATAATGCTACAGTTTCCTTGTTTCTTCTATGACAGGAATGTTATACATAGGTATTGAATTGCGCTTTAAACATATCTGAGGCTGTTTCTTTGATAATTTACTTCTTCTCTTTTCTTTCATGTTTTGAGCATCTCTTGGTACCTATGACTTACAGATAAACCACTAAGCAACTTCCTAAATCTGTTCATTCTGAATTTTCTAAAGAATATCATCAGTTTCGTTCACATTATTGATTCAGAATTTCTAGTTAGCACTAAAAACACAAGCGAGTGATTCATTTGAAAATTGGTGTCGCGATAACACACCTTACTGCTGAATATAACGAATTCAGTAGTTCTCATAGTAGAGGAAAAGTGATAATTTGTTTTCTGATCAATTAAAACATCATGTAGAAATTTTTCATGAAAATCATCCTAATTTATTCCCCTAAACTTTCAATTGTTCCCTTCTCAGAATCGACATAAGAAAGGACAATATTTAATTAAAAGATATTTCATCTAGTCATATATATCGAATTATTTTATGTTAAAACTTTCTTGAAGAGACCAAGTGAACCACAATAATACCAATAATAACAGCAATAATACTGAATACGAGAACGATACTAACATGGTATGATACTTGGAGTGGATACGAATTGTGATTGGTCTTCTCCAGAACCTTAAACTTCTCAGATAGGCCAGTGACTGTTAGAGATACACTTTATTCGACAAAATTACATCATTTATATACAGTTTTTAGAAATATATGAAATCATAAGGTCAAAAGTTAAATATATACCTTATTTTGATTGGTCAAGAGAGGGATAAAACTGTCCAATCAGGTTTTTCCTGAGTACACAGTGACATGAAGCAAAAATTGAAGTCTATAATTTCTAACTTAGCGACTAATGACTCAAATTGTTATCTTCTGTTCAGGTGACTTCTTATCATTTCTTGAGATGAAATGAAATGCTTCTACCTGCAACACTTGGTGATACTTTTTCACACCTCTAAGAGGATAGCAGTTCATTCGAAGTTAGCGATACGCTTTGTTGATGAGTGCAGAAAGTCATGAACTTTTAGAAGGCATTTCTTCACATAGTTGATAACGTTAAAATTTACCCTCATTTATTTGCATATATGAATAACGTGATCTGGTCTGTTTCCAGTTACTATATAAGCATACGATAACTTGTGAAGGTGGCTGGCGGTAAAATCCAGGTTATGAGTTCCCTCCCCCTTTGAAATCACTCATCAGTTGCGTTTACCTTCTTCTAAGTGAGCGACATTATCCCCCCCAAAACTAAAACACGGGACAGATTACCTCAAGTTCCAGAGCGTTATCTACTGGGTCACTGAACCAGGATAACCATGTGCTCCAATCAATGACAGAGATGTACAAGTTATAACGACTGGAAAACCATGGGATTCTCCATTGTACAAAGAGTGCCTCTCGTGACTCAAGAGGCTAGCGGATCGGTTCCACATTCGAGTACGCATGGAAACAACATCACTCACTAAGAGGCAAGTACATCTACTTGATGTGTTCCATCCTTAGCCACTATCCATCATTAATGTTGAAACTGAAAGTAACCGTGCAAGAGCCTATTTACCAATAGTGACCGATCAATTCAGTCTGGTCAATGACGTAGATGTATAAGCTATAACAGCAATAAAATATTCTTTTGGGAATTTTTACAGTTACATGAAGATACATTGTATGCTACATAAAAGGTTCATTTGAAGTTGCTTCATATCGAAAGATGTCAGATATGCATCATGTGATAGAAGTTATTTTCATAGTAAAAACAACATTCAGCAGTAATAAGAGACAGTGGTTAGCAATAGAGTTAAAAATGAGCAGTTGGATGTTCCTGTATCGCTGTGAATGATGATGTTTTCATTGAGACTAGAGGCTAGTACTCATTACTTCAAACGCCGGAGCTGCTGAGTTATGATTATCACTCATGGTGTAAAGGGTATCGTTTTAATATCATAGCTTACAATTTCAGGATTCATTATCTAAATTTCCATGAGAAATGTTAACTGTTTGAGTTTTCTTAGACTCTAATTAGCTATGATTAACTTTCTAATTACATGCTAATCATGATGATATAATTCCACTGGATGTAAGAGATTCTTTAGCCATAAGATGATGTAAATTCCTTTTGTCTATTACCAGACTTTTTAAAAACATTTCTTCATGATGAATAAGTTCAATTCTACTACAATTTTCTTTTCTAGACCTCAGCATCAGGAGTGTTTCGTATGGGTATGCTTCAACAGACTGAATTAGCTAAAGCTCATAAGAAATTTTGTCATAAATATTATTCTACTTCATCTTCACCTTCAACTGACTCAGTGGTAAGAACACGTTTGCATACACTTTGCTTACCCAGTATAAATAACAACAGAACTATACAATCACATCCTAACAATGATAGTAATTATCAAACCAGTAATTATTCTTACACTTCAAGAAACTCATGTAATCATAAATCTTTAATACCACAATTACCATTACAGCAAAGATATACATTAAAAGATTACAGTTTACTACCGTCTATCGAGTTGAAATCATATGGATTAGGCCCAGATACAGATAATGATGAGTATCGTTTAAAGGTAGGTGAATGAGTTTCCTTCTAAAATGTACTGTTTTACTATTATAACTATAAAATCAGTATCCAAGTGAGTTTCATGACAGATTTTCTTATAAATAAGGCATATTAAACAGCTCATTGTTTCTCCTTGATTATCATACTAAGTAGAACTGATTGGTCATTATTAGCAATATGAACTCATTGACACGAACGCCTTAGTATTGGCAAAATCTCACCTGGGATACAGAAGACCTGTTTGTTATTTGTCAACTTGCGTCATTTATGATGTCAAAAGTCAGGGTATCCGACTATCTGTCGAAGGATGAGTATACTGCACTCCAGTCCATTCTATCCTTTTATGCGACGATGAGATATGGCCATTGAAAGTAGAAAGCATAAAGCGGTTACAGGGTTCTCATCTCAGGTGTCTTCGTAGCATTGCTCAAGTTTGATAGAGTCATCGTGTGATCAATGTTGATGTCAAGCGAAAATTAATAAGCAAGACAGACAAGTCAGTCGATTGATGAGGTTGTGAAACTTTATCGACTAATGCGGCTTGGACATATACTGCGCATACAAAGCCGCCATTCACCTCAAGGTGTCATACTAGAGGAAACCAGATGGCATGCACTAGTGCCAAGTCTCTGACTGTCGGTGTGAGCTGTGAAGACTACCTAGATGGAGTCCTGTAAACGCCAAGAATCATTGATTGAGGACTGTTGGTGACATGGCTGAAAATCGTTCACAGTGGCGCAGACATATTCGCTCTTTGAAGTCTTCTGGAGCGTTGATACTTGCACTAACCTTTACTTTTAACTTTCTCCTTATTTTCTCATCCACGTTTCTCTACTTTGATTTAAGTCTTTCCTAATCATTTTTCCTTGTATACTACTGTGAAGTGTAGGAACTTTAAGCGATGCACTTATGTAAGAGGTTCTACATTATTTTTATCTGTCTATCTGTCTGTTTGTCTTGCGTCAAGACTCATTCTGATATTATTTCGACTGGTAGCCGACAGTAGAATCGTCCAATTTAGAACTTGTCATCTAAATATACCAACATCCCATTCAATGATGGTGTTCCCGCTGAAACTTGAAACCAGAATCGATTGCTTCCGACACCATAGCTCATATGCAAACAGCGACTGAACGATTCGGTTTAGTATAATATTCACAGTGAAACTAATGGCATCAACAAGAAAGGGATACTGGCTGGATGAGAGATGGCTGACATCTGAAGTGATAGGTGATGGATTCGCATCTCAACGCGAACACCATAAATCACTGGAATTTAGGTCCGTTTAGCTAATGAGTCTAAAATAAGACAGAAAAGTGCATCTTGGATTCTCCTGCTAGCTACCACCTAGCAAATAACGTCAGGTTGTAAGTTCCTGTATCTGAATAATCCACTTACCATTAATATCAAGCTTGATTTCATTACCTTCTCTGAGCTAGATGGTTTACTCCTGAAACTTTCATTGACCTTCTAGACAACATCATCAACAGTAACTTCAATATGAAGTTAACTATCAATGATTTTCGCCTGAGTGATTAAGTAGTTTGCCCTGACGAAGTGGTTGGCAACTGGTAGTTTGCTTTCGACTGTTGTGTTATTGAGTGTATGGATACTCCTGTTGGTTGTTTCTTTTGCCTCAATTCTGACTTTGTGTTGTTCATTATGTTTCTTATCGGTTCATAGAATTGGTCTACTTCAATACTGACCAACTGAAATGAAAAACTTCTAGAAATTCTCTGATATTTTTTATGTTTCCTCTGCCTAACATCTCTACATTTTCATAGTTGAATTGACGCCCAGTTCATCACTATTTACAAAGTCATCCACGGAATTCAGCAAGCGGATCATCCTACTATGCATAAAGATCATATCAGAGATGACAAGGAGATGTCGCTCATAAACTAACAAATCAAACCATATTCTTCAAACTGAAGGACGCAACAGCTAGACAAGAAAAATCATTTACAAAATCAAAGTGGTCACCGTCATCGCCTTTATCTACGTTGTCTATTAAGCATCACGATATTTCATCGCTCATATCAATGCATGTGGATAACTATGGTCGTGAATTCAACTTTGAAAATGTAGAAATCTTGGACAGAGGAAACACAAAGAATATCAGAGTATTTTTGGAAAGTTGAAAGTCAACAAATGTATCGAAGTAGACCCGATCTGTCAACCAATAAAAAACATGATAAGGAACTACAAGGTGAGAAGTCAGACGGAGGAAAATCTATACAATCAGTCATACAATGTTTGAAGAAAACCAGCAGTTGCAAACCACTTTGTCAGAGCAAGCTACTGAACGACTCAGGTAGAAATCTTTATAGCTCACTTCATGTTGAAGTTATTGCTGGTAATGTTGTCTAGAGGGCCAATCAAAGCTTCATGATTGAGTCATCCAGCTTCAAGAATGCAACACAACCAATTTCATTCAGCTAATCTAAAAATATTCTTCAATAATGCCAGTTTAGATTACTGGAAATTATATTGGACTCAAAAGATGAGTATTGAATAAAATTACAATGTTGTATATCACTCAAACTACTCATCTTTTGGATAGTAGTTACTTACTCATCCATAAGTGTGTACATAGCCTTACGTTTTTATGCAATCACTGCATTCAGTCAATTATTTGTCTGTGAATACTTCATTTCTAACAAAACACTGAATATTCCTCATTCAGGGATAAAAATGAAATCTTAAATTTTAAAGCCTATCTGAACATTGGTATTTTACTTGGCTAGCAGAGGAGTCCAGGATGCGCGTTTTGTCCAAAATGGGGCTCTTCACCTGAATGTACCTGAACCCCAGTGAGTGATGTTGCTCCCACTGAGGCTTGGACCTTGTACCCATTGCTTCAAACGCTAAGGCGTTATCCACTAGACCACGGTAGCATGATGTAGAGTGGGTATTAGTTATTACTATTTACTGATATACTTGCAATACTTCATTGTTATACTGGATCAAATTGTTTGACCTCTATTGGCATATGGGCTCATATATGGATGCCTCGATATTACTTGGATATGAACTATGGTAATTTACTTGGTTGCGTGTCCTGGACTCCTTTGCTAGCCACTATCCACCATTTGTATCAAAGTTGAAAATACAGGCAATATAGAGGCGCCAGGCCCTCGAGTGGAACCCAGATGGAAAACGATGAGTTGGGCCTCCAAGTGTGACATGGAGGAGATAGTGTGAGGAATAAATGAGAGCTTCTGGGCTGTTGTGGAGCCAGGTTGAAAAGATTGCAGAGAACAGAGAGTAATGGAGACGTGCTACTGAAGCCCTATGTTCCAATAGGAATCCAAGGGATAAATAATAATACAATAATACACTGGAGTGTGATCAATTCGATATAATCAATGGTAAGGCAATGCAAGTAACAACATAAAAATCATACCCGTCGCACAAGAAGTGGTTATCATGGCTCAGTAGCCCAGCGGGTAACGCTTCGGTATTTGAAGTAATCGGCCAGGGTTTCGAGTGCATTCAACTGACGAGTCTTAAATAGGATAAAACATCCTTCTGGGATACTATTAACTGTTCATATCTTTTTCTCCAAAAGGAGATAGTCAGTGGATACTGTAAGGGAGTTGTAACAAATAAAAATATCATACAAGAGTGAGTTGATTTAAGTTACCGCTATGTACAACAAAATAGTATGAGAAACTAAAAAGGGCAAAGTATTGATGGGTTGTAAACATATTGTCAACGTATTAATAATAAAATATACACATACAACTGTGTACTTGTACTTGTTGGAACTCATGATCAAAGTATTTCTGTAATCTTGAGAGAACTTAAATCCCTTGAGATATTGGAACTCTCACTACGCAGTAGGCCAGTCAGAGACGTTGCCACTGTTGATGTTTATTCTGAGACTAGCCTTCACTATGCCAAAAAGTTTTTAACCCCTTTGTTCCTAACATCTTGACATCTTCACATAAATAGCTGTAACTCTTGTACACAGCTGAGAGCAACTTTCACTGGCCTGGTGATGTTGTTTTCGTTCATTATATTCAGAAAGAAAATTCACTTTGATTATACTCCTAGTCGTTGGAGTAGTCTGTACGTACCACATAGTACTAGATCACATATTTATCAACTGGTTCATCACCCTTACCTAAGATTTTGCAAAGGATCTCAATATAACACATTCAGTAAAAGCGCTTACAAAGAACACTTCTGATCGATGAAGCAGTCAGTCAGCGATCTCCACGCAGTCACAAAACGTCAGAAATTCAATTTTCTGTCTCACTGAGAGTTTTCAAATATATTTCATTGATAAAATAAACAGAAGTCTTAGAAAACCGTAAGACTTGAAGAATTGGAGGTTCTTCATCTAATGGAATCTGATATGGTGATGTACATGGAAATCATACATGTATGCGTCTGATTCACAGCAATCACATTGTGAAGTCAGCGTCTATAAGTCAAAGCAATAGTGTAAGATCGGATTTGGTAATGATCTGAATATTCAACGTTTCAAAAGCTTACTGTAGTGAGTAATGGTTAAATCTTATGTTAGTTGGATGCAGGAAGTCAGCAGAAAGCCTTGAACCTAAGTTTCATGCTTGTTAGAACTCGTCAGCAAGACATATCTGCCATCTCAATGGAGCCTGAGATTGAAACCCGCATCACTCAGTGTTGTAGTCAGCGATGTTATCATTAGGCTATTCGGGCTGCGACTGATATCATGTAGGACTGAATTACATATATTCTTTGGTCACTGGAGGGAAATCAATTTCGTACTGACCGAATTTTATCAATGATGATGCCTAAAGTTTACTATTAATGCTTTATTAACATTTATAGTTAATAATTATTATTATTATTTATTATTAGTCCCTTGGGTTCCTGGTGGAACATAGGGCTTCAGTAGCACGCCTCCAGTGACCTCTGTTCTCTGAGATCTTTTGAACCTGGTCCCACGACAGCCCACAAGCTCTCATTTCCTCCTCGCACGACCTCCTCCATGTCACCCTTGGCCGTCCAACTCGTCGCTTCCCATGGGGATTCCACTCGAGTACCTGGCCTGACGCGTGATGTCCTCAGTCGGCCTTCTCAGTGCATGGCCAATCCATCTCCACTTCCTCCTGCATATTTGTTGGGTGATAGGTTCTTGCACGGTTGGTTCGTTCACAGAGTTCCTTGTTGCTTATTTTTTCTGGCCATCTGATCTTCAGTAGCGAGCCAGCGTAAGCAGTTGTTGATGAATGTCTGTAGTTTATTGGAAATGCCTTTCGTGACGCTCCAAGTCTCTGAACCATACAAGAGCACTGACTTGACGTTGGTGTTGAAAATCCGTATCTTGTTCCGCATGCTGAGTGCAGAAGATCTCCACACTGTTTTCAGGCTAATGAACACCTGTCTTGCTTTTCCGATTCTGACTTTGACATCCTCGTCCGTCCCGCCTGTAGTTGTACTCGCTTCGGCGGTACATATACTAAAATTGGAACGATACAGAGAAGATTAGCATGGCCCCTGCTCAAGGATGACACGCAAAATCGTGAAGCGTTCCATATTTTTTTTTAAAACCTCGCCTGGTTAACTAGTTTACTAGTTTACTAGCCAGTCCTAAGCCCGGATAAAGAGGGAAGGTTGGGCATAAAGCTATCAACCCTACCCCGTAAAACAAATCTAACCACTAAAGAAACTTTAAAGCACAAACAAAATAGTTAATAATTACATGTATTATATACACTTACAGTACAACTAAATGATCCAATATATATCTCTTTATTTATTAAGCTTGCAAAAAAACTTCGACAAAATGGTTATGCTGAACACATAAGAAAATGTCAAGAGAAATCAATCGCTAGATCACAACACCAAGTTAATAATTTGAAGCATATTAATTCTTACGAGAATGGGAAGAATCTCACAACTGATGAAAATAATTGTAATGAAGAAAATCTAGGAAAGAATGTTTTAAATATAAACAATTACTCAAATCAAAATCAAACTGAAGATGTAGAAAATAAGACAACTAATCAAAATGATGATAAGCCAAGTGATAAACAAAATAAACTATATTCATCTCATCAAGTGTCTTTATCAAGTCATCGATCATCTAAAAATGTTATAAATTCAGGCATTAAGGTTGGTACTGCACGTAGTTCTCCAGAGATGTCAAAAGAAGAACTTCAAAGGGTAAAAGCAGCAGAAAAACGTTTGGCAGTGAGTTGTTTCTATTTATAATTACTGATGCTAACTTTTACATCGATTTGGATAGTGAAGTATAGTAGATAAACTGAATATCTATTTACTATCAGATATGCTGACAGAATGATGGAGAATATTTGTAGCTCAGATGGGTGGTCTTGGTTGTATTATGTTCTCTGAGCTGGGTTGTTTAATCGTGAAGCTTTCATCGTCTCGCTTCTAGACGACATCATCAGTACTAACTTCAGTATGAAGTGAACTGCTCACGTCTCGTCTCCGCTGCTGTGCCTTTTCTGCCAACTTGTCAGTTTTCACTTGCAGATCATCGAGTTTCAGCGACATTAGATACAAATCATCGTCGGCGAAATCTAAATCTTCTAGAGTCTTTTCCTTGGTCAAGCAGCGTATGCCCATCTTCTCGCTCCTCACAGTTTCTTGCGTGATCCAGTCCAGTCGACCACACTCAAGAAGATCATGAGTGATAGTGGGCAGCAGCCTTGCCTTACTCCTCTTTTCACTTCAAAGGCATCACTGAGCTTTCCATTTTGAATTACTTGGTATGTAGTATCATATGGCATTTAGCTGCTGTTGAATGAGGTTGATGAAGGTTTTCGGTACTCCGTAGTGTTGAAACAGTTTCCAAATTACTTCTCGGTCGACGCTGTAGAAGGTCTTTTCGAAGTGGATAAAGTTAAGGTGGATGGTTGACTGCCATTCTATGCTCTGTTCTATGGTGATGAGTAGTGTAGCGTTACAATTTGATCCGCAAATGATTTGTTCTTCCTGAAGCCTGAATTATATGGACAAATTCTTGAGCCAGACAGAACTTGACTTTGTGAAACTAGTTTTGACCGCACGACTGATAAAGTGATTATTCAACTGACCGCTGAAAATCCTAGACATGCTTATGAGTTGAATACAGATGATCAACCATTCATAGTATTTTAGAGATCAGTATGAAACTAAATTTGAATGTTATAACTGCAGTTTCTTTATCATCAGTTCATGGAACAGTAGGTTCTGTAACAGCATTACAAGCATTGCAAGTACCATCAGTCGATGCAGACAGACAGACAGAATCAACGTAGAAGCTCGGATGCAAGTGCTTCGACTTAGGCAAATGTGAAACTACTACGAAATGCATTCAACATTTTTTTTCCTTGTGTTGAATTGATTCACTAACATATAAGTGTGATAAACGCCTAAATAGATACAGCAATACTTAGATTTTGGAGTTCATAGGAAGTCATAATCCCATAAAAATGTTCACTTTGTCATTTGCTGTTGTCAATATCAAACAGAGGGTTTAAGCTCATCAATTTATTTATCGTTATAAAACATTTTTAACCAAAAAACTTTATTATTTTTTTTTATAATGGTATTCAGGTGACCAGTAGATTTGGAAGTACATATGAACTACACAGGTCTTACCATGTGCATATGACCCATCAAAAATATACAAACCTGAGGTGCTTTTTTACCCTATCCTAGACATGACTAATACACTTTACTATATATACTGTCACCAAATGGTTAATTTGATTACTTCAAGCTTTTTGAGACCAATTAGCAAAATATATAGCATGAAAGATACCTTCCAGTTTGTAGACAATCTGAAAAGGTTAAACCTTTTAAACAAATGCATAGAATCTCCTGATGTAATATCTTTGTTCACTAAAATGTCCAATTCTTGGGAAACAGTCATCTGTAAAGACAAGTTGATATAGGGGTTATTAGATATCCACTGCGTCCAACATTTGTAGATATATGTTTGATGAAGTTTGAAAATAGTCCTTTGAAATATCGAATCATCAACACGGAGTTGTACTGTCAATACATAGAGGATAAGTATCTATGGTTTCATTCTATTCTGAACCATTTCAACAGTATGCTCATCTAACGTCCAAGTCACAGTATATGCAACTTCTCAGTTTTATGGTGTTGAAGTATAAACATAATATATTTAGGTGCCTAGTATTCAAATTAAGATCGATTTATTCCATGGAGTGTATACAGAAAGAACAACTGTGTGTCCGAGATATCCGGTAATGTTCATCAAAGTCGATATCAATTACACTGATCCTCAACAAGAATCGATAACAATGCGATTACAATTGAAGGGATAGGCTTGAATCACAATGCCTAACTAGATGAGTCAATAGGACGTTTTATGCATATCGGGTTTGCATATGATTCAGTGGTCGGCTAATGCTCATTTCGAGACTGTAGAATAGCCTACCTAATCTTAACTACATAGGACGTTCAACTAGACAGGTACATCTGTGGATACGAGAGTATTTACCAGCTTGGTTTAGAAAGTACGAAGTGAAAGTGGTTAAAAATTCAGTTCTAACGCATCTAACCGACACAGAGCATCATATAAGTACTAATAAAGCTTTCAATGTGATACATTTCTTAAAAGATTATTAGCTTTTAATAATGTTAATCAGATTACCTTACTTGCAAGATTAGGTTATAATCCCTGAACCAGTTGACCAGTAGGTTGGTTATCTATTTAGATTTAACTTGATCAATAATATACACTTAACCAATAGAGTACATTTACCACTAGTTTCAGAATAAGAAAGTTGCCTTGTTCCTTCAATCAATCACTACAGGTTACGGTTGGTTATGGCTAGCAGAAGAATCCAGGACGCGTGTTTCATCCTATTTGAGATTCGTCAGATGGATGTACCTGCACCCCATTAAGAATCAAATTTTGTACCCATCACTTCAAACATCAAGGCGTTATCCACTAGGCCACTGAGGAACGACAGCCACTTCTTGTACAACGGGTAATAGGTATTACTATTTATTGATATACTTGTAATTCTCCGTTGTTTTATTGGATCGAAATGATACTCAGGCAATATCGAGGCATTCACATAGGAGCTCATATACTAATAGAGGTCGAAAAATTCAATCCAGTATAACAACGGAGAATTACAAGCATATCAATAAATAGTTACATTACAGGTTTATTTAAAAGAATGCTTAAATAAAATTTTGTCAGTTTTGCGGCTTATTATAGTTCTACTGGCAAAATTGTTACTTTCAAAAGCTTTACAAATGTATATTTAGTTAAACGATTCATTGATTGCTTATATGTAAAGAAAACTGCATTTCTCAGCGTTTGTAGATAGCTTCCATCTATATGTGGGTTTCCCAAATCCTTTCATTACAATCTACAAATATGAACGAAGAAGAATACGTGTAACTGATTTATCTGTAGACTGTTTGAGCACTACAAACAGCTTGGGAAAGTAGAAGGAGGGAAACAACATATTTTTGACAGTTTGACTATTTGAGATGGCCATGGTTTGGGTGGTGATTGATGGTGAAATAAAAATCTGACCCACGATAAGATTGAAACCATAAACCATTAAGTTGCAGGCTCTGTACTCTACCGACTGAGCTACAAGGCCCAATTTCTAACCAGTTGTTTTTGTTTCACTTCAATCACTAAGGGTTTTGTTCTACTGTCATATGAACTAGTGACATGTTACAATCCCTTGATCGTACTCACATTGACTGCTTAGTCAAGACTTCTCATCCTAATCGAAATTAATTTGAGTTAGAGATGGAAAAATCATATTATTTATCAGTCTAACTATCTGAGTGAGTTGTAATTTGATGACTGAAATAAAATAAAAATCTGGATTGCGATTAAGCCTCGTACCTCAGTTGGTAGAGCACTGGACAGAAAACTTGGTATTCGCTGGTTGGAGTCCCGAATTCTCATTCCACTTTTAATCATCACCCAGTAACAATGGTGTTGATAAAAATGTCTGAGTAGCAAGGATCTTTGAAACTTGTGTGATTACTTTATAAGAAGTATCTTGAATATCATATTCTCTAATGATTAACCCATTTACTTTAATAAAATATGCATCATATCATAGAAATCTTACTGATTAGTAACTATTCATAATCGTTCCATTGTATTCTTATTCATAAGTGTATATTATTTACTTTTTCTAATATAGATGCTCAACTATGCAAAACTTGTTAGAGAGCAACTTCGTAGTCAATCTCGCTCAAACCATCGTCGGTTTACTGCAAATAAACAAAAGCAGGTAACTGTAATTTCGTAGAAGAATACCCTTGAACCCTTGAACGAATTTTCTTCTCATTTCTTAGGATTATTTGTAAATTTATGTGGTATAGTTTCCTGTATTGATTTGTGCTGAATCGAATTCTCATGGTAGAATTTGGATTCTTGTAATCAGACATCATAACTGCATAAGCCTGATTAGATTACTTCAAACGCATCAGATATTTGTGATAACTATAGGGGAATTAGTTTAACTAATATTTTGTCCGAGATCTTAAGGCTAATAGTTATCGGAAACCATATTGGAGTTCGAAAACGGCTAATTCGAAGAAAACGGGAAAGTTTCAGACCTGGAAGAGGGTGTATCCAGGTTACAGGTTCTGCAACACAGGCATACTTACTAGCTACCGACCCTTGCCATATTTGTCAGCCTGAAAGCGATATTTAACTGGAATGATTTTGAGGTGTTGTGGCAGTATCTGACTGTGAAGAAAATACCAATCAAGAATGTGATATGCTAATCAAAGCCCTCCACTTGAACTCATGCAGCCGTGTAAGGGCTTATGGAGAGTTGTCATGTGAAATGATGACAACTAGTGGTGTTCGCCAGGGATACTCACCTTTCCTGTTACTATTTAATTCGTTATATAGGTATTATTGGACATAACCTTATGTAAGTCTGGCTTCACTACGATTATTCTACTCACCGGAAGGTAGGTATTTGTTTGACTTGTAGTACGCAGACGACATTATACCGCTGGGTGAGTATACTGACAAAATACAGAGTCTTATGAACGTCTTGAGCGAGACCTAAATATTTTTGGCATGCTCTTTGAACCTGTCAAATGTCAGATAATTCTTTAGGAATAATCTGAAACTACTTTTAGGTTAGGAATTGGGAGCAAGGTGGTAGAATGCGTCGGCTATCGCACTTACTTTGGGTGTTGCATCAGTTCGAATGGGCTGTTTGCTGATGAGATCTCAGTTTGGAGATAGCAAATCCGTCTGGCATTTTCCAAAATGAGTCACGTTTGTCATCGGTGGGATATGCAACTATCTATTGAAGGTTTAGTATACAGCGCTCCAGTCTATTCTATACTGTTATACACCTATAAGACATGGCCGTTGAAAGTAGAAAACATGATGTGTTTGCAGGGTTTTCATTCTAAGTGTCTTCGTAGCATTGCTCGCGTTTAGTAGAATCACCGTGTGAACAATGCTGAGATCAGGTGAAGGGTACTGAGCAAGACAGACAAGTCAGTCGATTGATAAGGTTGTGAACCCTTATCGACTGAGGTAGCTTTGACATGTACTGGGCATATGAAGCCACTGCCTACCTCATTGTGTCATGCTGTGGGAAGATGGATTGAGTTGTAAGGAGGTTCATGGTGACTAGATGAAGACTTGGCATCAGAACACAAATGGATAACACCATAGGATTGTTTTTAAATCTGAAGATATTTCATTCAGTATCAAATCAAACTAATCACTGGTTGAATAGGTCAGTAGATTTTAAAGGTTGGATCGTTTCCCCTCCCCCAACAGGGGATATATTTCATTTGGAACGTTATTATTTGAATATAATTAACCGTTGAGGATTGTCTGACTGCATTAAATTGACCTCAATGGTTATTTCTATACACCATAATTGAGGGAGAATATGCTTCACTCAACTAAATCATATGTGACCTCAGAAATACTCTTTTTTTAAAATTCATCACAAGCTTGTAGCGTTAACATGATGTCATACGTTAGTTATGATAGTTTCATCTGCATACATATTTCATGAATCTCAGTCTCTAGAGAAGCTAAATTCAATCCTACTTTACATTGAATCGATGAAACTCTATGAGAGGTACACTGTTATTGGTACTTCATCACCTCATCCAGTTATTTCCTTTGTTTCTTACACTTCATTGTAGAATGTCTATTTTTACTTCACTTGTTCTCTACCACGTCTGTATATAAGGATTGAAGCTGATAGGTCAAAGACTGACGAAATCTCGGTACGGATACAAAAGGCTAACTTGATTTTCGCCAATTTGCCCTATTCGTGGTGCCATAGTGGTATTCGATGGCGTTGAATGTGCTGTGCTACAGTTTGTCCTCTTGTAGTTTATGGTTAGAAAACATGAGGGTTATATGAAAAGGGTTCAAACGGTTCTACTACTGTCACCTTCTAAGCATGGACCTTGTGTTAAGTTTCCACCATGTCAGTAACGCAGAAGTTAAGTGTAGAGTTTTGGTTACAAATGAAAGTCAGTTAATGAGGTCGTTATTCTTCATTGAATCGAGTAGCTGTGAAGCATGTTCCATATGCCAAGTCAATGTGTGCTACATCGCTGAAGTAGGTTGTTTAGACTGGTAAAAGGTTAACGGTGTTGGTCTAAGCCATGTAGGAGAATCTAGACTTACCAGTTGAAGTTCATCTGACAGCAGAAACCAATGGTTATAGCTGAAAATCAATCTCATTCGCCTAGTTGTATCTACATTTTATTTTCATGTCATTCGATATTTTGAATTCAATGTTTTCTGATTCCTCGTTGCCGTCTTTCGATGACTTTCTACCATTTTTTTTACTACTTTCTCGATTCATTGATCTTTCATCCTAGTGGATTTTTACTTGGTGTTCTGACATCATATGTGGCAACTTCGACCATTGCACAACAATACCTCGTCTTATGTCATGAGTGCGCATGGCTGAGGAGCCTCATTCTTGGATGAAACAGCTATCTAGTGCTCCTACATTTCTAATTTTCCTCTATCTGATGTCAATCCATGATGACTACAAACTGGAAATCAATAAATCTCCAGGAAACCGCTGAAACTAGCTTCCAGAGGTAATTCCGGAAGTTCCAATGAGAATACATGGTGGTAAGGACAAATGCTCAACGATGACACTAGGTGAATGGTCGAGCTATATCATGAGCCGATAGAAGTTGGAGATATGGACCAATAAGTTTCGACCCAGTGGCTCAATGCTAAAGTCCCTGGGTTCGATCCCTGGTAGGGTGAGGTCACTACTGAGGAGTTCTATATTCGGACGAAACAACTGTCCAGTGATTCCAGGTTTCCAACGATTCTCCAACTGATGTCATTCCATGATGAATCCCAGATTGAAAGAGTGCTACTTATGGTATCTAAGACTTTCTTATTAAAAAAACTGCTTCGCATCTGCTTTGATGTTTGAGGGCTACAATAAACATATTCACCACCTATCGTTGTCTTTACTTGCTATCAATTATTAGACCACAACCAGATGATATTTATCTAAGTCACGACGACTGAAATGGGCAGTCTTAATTTCATTTCAGCAACTACGAATGAATGTGTGCCAATATGCTTACTTATAACTGATTACCTGGCGATCTGCTTTATGAGATTTGATAAATGTATAAGTATTTATACTAAGTGATGATTGAAGGTGAACCATAGCGGGATTCGAACCAGCCACCACCAGGTTACCGGCTCGATGCTACAGGGCCTGACTGCTGACCAGATTTTTATTTCATTTCAATCATCAAGTGTTTTGCGCAACTACCATAGGAGTTCGTGATGCGTTTCTACCTTCTAATCGTATTCCCTAGTCAGGACTCCTCATCCCAATCCAAATCTAACTGGATTAGAGAGGGGAGGGGTAGCATCATATTGATTATCATTTTGACTATAAGAGATAACTGTAACTTGGTAGACTTGTAGTATATGTACTGGGTGATGATTGAAGGTGAGATGAGAATTTGGACCATGGCCGGATTCGAACCAGCGACCAACGCGAAACATAATACAAGTCTCTCCAAAAGAGTAATTACCTTTTATTGTATAGTGTTTTTTTACTTGTTTGATCCCGGTGTAGTATATTAGAGAATACAACAAAATAAACAAATATTTTATATGATTCCTCAATAATTCTATCTTACTAGGAACATCCTTTTCAAGAGTATGAATGTGATATTAAGTTTTCAGGTTAATATTCAAGTTTCGGTACATAGGGTGGATACTTGAGCAGCAACCTTTAAATTCCACTCTTGATGGTCATTCACTTCTTCAAAAAATAAAAAAAGATGGTAAGATAACAGCAGGTGTATTGCTGATGAGATTTCTGCACGGATACAAAAGGCTCGATTGGCTTTTGCCAATTTGCGCCACCTATGGCGCCGCCGTGATATTCGTTTGTCTATTAAGGGTCGCGTGTACTGCACAACAGTCCGCCCTGTTCTACTATATGGCTGTGAAACATGGCCACTGAAAGTGGAGGATACAAAAAGGCTTCAGGTGTTTGATCACCGTTGCCTTCGTAATATAGGACGTATTCCGTGGTGTCACCATGTGAGTAATGCAGAAGTTAGGTGTAGAGTTTTGGGGAGAAGAGGTAAGTCAGTTGACGAGGTTATGAACCTTCATCGACTGAAATGGTTGGGACACGTACTACGTATGCCTAGTCACCGATTGCCTCGTCACACAATGTTGGCTGAGGTGGGTCCAGGCTGGAAAAGGGCCCGAGGTGGCCAGACTAAAATATGGCACCAATGTATGAAGTCTCTGACTGTTGGTTTAAGCCATGTAGGACGATGCAGACTAGGTGGTTGGGGTCCACGGGACAAGAGGAACCAGTGGTTGAAGACCCTAGGTGATATGGCTCAGAACCGAAGTCAGTGGCACAGATGTATACACACATTATCCTCATCTTAACAACGCTATACCGAATCTCACCATTTTGTCACTCCTCTTCCCTATCTTCTCGTACTTTATATTTCTTTTGACTGCATTCACTTATCTTCATCCTTCACCTCACTACCTTTTTACTTGATGTGCTGATATGAGGTGTGGCAACTCGGACCGTTACGCAGTAATGCCTGACCCTACGTTGATAATGGTGATGAGGTGTATTGCTACGTCAAAACATCTACAAAATCCAGTGATTTTTTATGTATTTACAGTATCCTTGGCTCTTTCCAAACCTTTCTCGAAAGATATTCCCAATTGATCTTGCCTCTTCGATTATAACAGCATGAAATGAAACAT